GTTGACTATCGAGGACTCAACAAGATCACAATCAAGAACAGGTATCCATTACCTTTGATATCAGGACTCCTTGACCAGTTGAATCAAGATAAGATCTATACAAAAATAGATCTAAGAGGAGCATATAATCTAGTACGGATCAAAGAAGGAGATGAATGGAAGACTGCGTTTCGAACCAGGTACGGACACTTTGAATACAATGTCATGCCTTTTGGACTCACGAATGCACCAGCTGCTTTTCAACATCTCATGAATGATGTATTTTGTGAATTCTTAGACAATTTTGTCGTCTGCTACCTAGACGATATCCTGATTTATTCTAAGAATGTTGAAGAACATGAAATACATGTTCGTCAAGTATTACAAAAACTTAGAGATGCACGATTGTACGCCAAGATAGAAAAGTGTGTATTTCACACTACTCAAGTTGACTTTTTAGGATACATCATTTCAAATGATGGTCTCATGATGGATTCTAAGAAAGTCCAAACAATCATGGATTGGAAGATTCCAAAAACTGTAAGAGATGTCCAATGTTTCTTGGGATTTGCCAATTACTATCGGATCTTCATCAAAGACTTCTCACGAGTTGCAGCTCCACTTACACGCTTGACTAGTAAAGATAAATTCCAATGGAATCAAGAAGCGGAAGCAGCATTTGAAGCCTTGAAGACATCGTTTGTCTCTGCACCAGTCTTATATCGTGTTGACTTTTCCAAGGTATTTTTTATGGAAACAGACGCATCGGATTTTGCCTTGGGTGCAGTTTTATCACAAATGGGAACAGATGACAAACTTCATCCGATAGCTTTTCATTCAAGAAAATTCTCAGCAGCCGAGATCAATTATGAGATCCACGATAAAGAACTTCTTGCAATCGTGGATTCTTTTCAAGAATGGCGTCATTATCTAGAAGGTGCTTCTAGTCCAGTCACTGTGTATACAGATCACAAGAACCTCGAGTATTTCATGTCAGCACGCGTGTTGAATCGTCGTCAAGCTCGTTGGAGTATGTCTTTGTCAAGATTCGACTTCATTATCACATATCGGCCAGGAAAACAACAAGGTTTGTCCGATGCCCTGTCTAGACGTTCTTATTTTGCACCAAAAGAAGGAGATGCAGCTTTTGAGCAACAAAGAACGGTCCTCTTGAAACCGGAGCAATTTCATCTCCAAGCAGTGAAATCAACATTGACTGTTGATTCAACTTTTCTCAAGCAAATCCAGTCCAGTATGTCCTCAGACCCTCTTGTTTATGATATCGAGAATAATTCTTCCAAGTCTCATGATCCTTCTAAGTTCGAGTTCAAGAATAATCTATTATATTTTGAAAGACGCCTATATGTTCCAGAAGGAGAAGCACGTTTACGTGTTCTTCAAGCACGTCATGACTTTCCAGCAGTAGGACACTTTGGATATAATAAGACTTTGGAACTCATATCAAGAGATTTTTGGTGGCCACAAATGTGGAAGTCAGTTAAAGACTTTGTACAATCATGTGATATTTGTTCAAGATCAAAAATTCCTCGTCATCGACCTTACGGACTTCTTCAACCATTACCTATACCAGAACAACCATGGTCTTCTGTTTCTATGGATTTCATCACAGATCTTCCAAACTCAAGATCTTATGATTCTATATTTGTGATAGTAGATCGTTTCACCAAGATGGCACACTTTGTGCCATGTACAAAATCTATCACAGGTGAAGAAACAGCTAAGCTTTTCATTGATAATATCTATCGCTATCATGGATTACCTAAAGATATCATATCGGATAGGGGAACTCAATTTGTGTCGAGATTCTGGAGGACTCTTTTCAAGATTTTAAAAGTGGACATAAAGCTATCTTCAGCTTTCCATCCTCAAACTGATGGACAAACAGAGCGCGTAAACCAAGTCTTGGAGCAATATTTAAGGTATACCATCAACTACCAACAAGATGATTGGATAACCCTTCTGCCATTGGCAGAGTTTGCTTATAATAATACAGTACATTCTTCCACGCAACAAACACCTTTCTTTGCCAATTATGGCTATCATCCACGACTTGATACTTTTGATTTTTCAAAAGTTGATAATCCTGCAGTAGAAGATATGGCAAATCGGTTGTCAGAGTTACATGCAATAATGAAGACACAATTGAAGGAAGCTCAAGAACGACAAAAGATAAACGCAGATCTATATCGTAAGGAGCAACCACAACTCAACGTGGGTGATAAGGTATGGCTACTTCGTCGCAATATCAAGACTATTTGACCTTGTGACAAGTTGGACTATCGTAGGCTTGGCCCCTTTTCTGTTTCTGAACAGATCAACCCAGTTGCATATCGGTTACATCTACCGGAGTCAATGAAGATCCATCCTGTATTCCACGTGTCTCTTCTTGAACCATATAAGACAGTGGATATACAAGGAAGAAGACAAATGCCACCGCCTCCTATAGAAGTAGATAATAATGAAGAATTTGAGGTGGAAGAGATATTAGACTCAAGGCAGCGCCGAAATAAGCTGGAATATCTTGTTCATTGGCGCGGATATGATATTAGTGAACGCACATAGGAGCCATCCAGGAATCTAGCAAATGCATCAGCTAAAGTCAAAGTTTTTCATCAACGACATCCATCGAAACCAAGATGAAAATCTCTCTTATAAAAGAGACAAGATTGAGGCAAGATAACATTCAATTTCCTATCCTTGTTTGTGACTTCTTCGCATTTGTGACGCTAATTAGATGGAGAGCCAATAACCAGCGGATTCAACTCAAGAACCTTCGTTTGCTGACCTGTCGGACGAGACATTACGATTGTCACAACCTTGAAGACGATGCTATCGAGATGAAGATCTTCAAGAACGACATGTTCTTCCTCGAATAGATGGTGAGATACAACTCGTTTGGTATCACGATTTGTAAAGGGACTCTCGATGTTTGGTAATTTTGCTAGAAGTAGGAACAACTCTGATGGTGTTCCGAATATTCTATTCGAAGGAAGTTACGAAGGCCTCAACAATGATCAAATAACTGGGTGGTCTTCCCGCACTGGTATGGGACACTACGGATGGTTGAGAGGCCCTATCAATCATCTTCGAAGAGAACAGAGATCAGAGTATGTGGCAAATACAATTCGTCGCATCATAGATTTCCTCAACATATGATGACCGCTCCTCGTGGAACTCGTCTCTAGAAGGGGGGGTAATGTCACGGCCATAATCATGTAAGCTAATAATTACATATAGAAATAGGTAGAAGTAAGTAAAAGTAGATAAAAGTAAGTTAATTCTATAATATTTAATATAGAAGCTTTCTAGAAACTTCCTAGATGCTGCTTTGACTTCATAGGTATCTTTAATTGACTTTTTGGATTAGAAACGTGGTCAACAAGTTGGCCATGTGCCACACATGTTGTTAGCTTGAAGATCAAGCTAACTATGTGGCCCACACGTAGAAAAACTTGCCTTGTAAGTGAAGGCATGTGTCCTACAAAGTCAACACATATTGGAGGTCCTATAGAACGTTGCCACGTAGCCCCTAGTTAGATAGTATATATAGAGACAAGAGTGATGGCTTCTTCACTCTTGTCAATTCCTTTCTTGCTTCTAGTCCAGGTTCAAGAGTCTTTAGTTTCTTGTCTTGTGGCAATAGCCATTCCAGTTTCCTTTTAATATACCTACTTGTTTATATTTTGACTTATTATATCGAGATAGCCTTTTTGTATATATTTTTCCTCATCGAGTCTTTGTCCTTGACAATAAGTATGTAGTTTTATATTTAAGGATTTGATTATAATCCTACTTCCCAACCGGTCCTCTCCAGATATCAATTTTTGGTTTTTCAAGGTAATAACTACTATTAATTACTATTAACTTTTCACTAAAGATATCCATATTATTTGTTTTTCTAAATCACTTTATTGTGTCTTATTTATGGCTATACAAAATAATTAGAAATCTTTTTTATATAAAATAATAGGATTAATACTATTAGTTTTTAATACCTCCTTCACTTTTATTCATGTTTTGTTACCATGTCTTTTAACTAGACTCTTCTATAATAAAACCCGTATTTTTATCTTTCACCATATAGTTGTATTACACCACAACACCACAACATGTATGGCAAAGAGCCATGGACCCTAGCTTCTATCCTATAATCACGAGAGTTCCTCCAAATTTCAAGTACTTCAAAGATCAATGTCCTCATTTGAGAAAAAAATAAACAAGAGAATCAGAATATTTGAGAAATAAATTGTTTAAGAATGGCTGCTATTCTTGAAAATGTGGCGCCTCACTATCCTGATTTGACATGATTGCTAATAATTATACTTGTTTGTTTCTTCTACTAATTATGGATGTTAATAAAAATAAAAATAAAATCTCACAAGCATAATCTTGACATGTTTCCCATCTTGTATGTTGTAACACTTTAAAAAAAAAGTTGCAACCTCAGTCATAAAAATTACGTAGAGTTATTTATTTTTAGCTTTGGATATTCTAAAAGTGAGTTAGAATAATACAATCAAGTATCAAAGCACGTGCTACTTTGTTTGCTACCCTAACTCAATTAATGACAAACTAAATGTATTCTTGTGTAGAAAAGCATCATTCGTTTTCCAAATATATAATTTTTATATACAAACTATAAGCAGTCTGTGATGAGTATAGGTTGTGGTACACAAATCCGATCAGCGGTTGAAATTGAATCTGAGCGGCGGCTGTGATCCGACGGCCCACGATGGCGGAGGCATTAGATTGAGTGGGGAAGTTTCTGGGACACAGTTGAACGAGGGAGGGTGTGCCCCACCCACACGCCCACTTGCGCCTGCAGCACCATCGCAATTAAGTCCAGCCTCCTCCTCCTCCCCAGTCTCCCTCCCTCCCCTTTTGCTGCCGCCATCGGCTGCGATGCATCTCCAGGTCCCCTCGTGATCGTGAGCTTTCCTCGTGTCCCTGCGCTCCCTCACTCACTCACTCACTCGTGCTGCTTCTTGATTGAGGTTAGTTGCTTGCTTGATTGTCCATACCGCCCGTGCTTCCCAAGATCTAGCGACTGTCCACTCTCCCGAGTCTACTTTGATATTTTCGTAGAATTCTTGCTTGCCATTTTTCGAATCCATCTGAGTGCGGTGGTTTCTCCTTACTGTTTCATTTGGCAAGCTGCTGCTGCTATGGACCTTAGTAGAAGCTTAGGGGTAGTAGTCGTCGGTATCTTTTGATATTTCCTTTTAAGTGCATTTTGTCGTCGTTTTTGTTGAATTTGAGCTTGTGCGGAACTCATACATACTACTTAGAGTGCCTGAGGTCTTATCAAGTATTTGACTCGACCAGATTCTTTTCAAGACGCTAGTAATTTCCCGGCAGAGAGTATTCCTGCGTGCTATATCGCCAGGTCAATTCGTGTACAAATAGGGTGCGAATACTTGGGAAGTCGAGTCCAAGTTGTTAACTTGGTGATTTTCTGTGGAGGGACTGCAATTTCCGACTGTGAAGTGATATTATTGTCTCGAAGGTCTCCTTGAATGCCTCGATTTTGTTCGGTTTTCCTTTCAAAGTTGAGTTGGATCGAAGTTATAACTCTGGTAGGCAGGAACGTTGTGAGATAGGAGGATCGCTATAGAGAAAGGAAAGCCAAGAAGTCCGGAGAAACCGTTACTCAAATCTCGTGCAGTTCTGGATTCTCCTCTTCGGCTTGTAGATTATTTGTTTCGTGCGTCGACACTGTCATGTCCTACCGGGGGTTGTGATGATCAGTGACTTTGCTACAGTTGGTGTACGCAGCATGAATCTTGCTTTTGCAGTTGGAGTTGCCACGATCCCACATCCGGCCAAGGTAATGAGAGCTTTACGCTATCATATTAGTATCTTGGGACAGTTGTCGCCATTAAGTAAGTGGAGCTTCTTCTGTCGACAGAAACGGTTGGCAATGCTGATCTGAGTATTTGTGTGCAGGCGCACAAAGGCGGCGAAGACGCATACTTCGTGAGTGACTATGGAGGGGGTGTCCTAGGGATTGCCGATGGCGTCTCCGGGTAAGGTTGACTGTGCTGCCCGTTGTGTGCATTCCACATCTGCAACAATTAGTGTCGTACCTCTGCAAGTGACCTAAATGATGTCCCTCGAAACAAGTGGATGCCAGTTTTTGGACACGTTTTAGAGAATGCCATTTTCCTTGTTCATGATCGATAGTAGAATCACATTAGCACGCAATACTATGGTGATGAGAGGTTTCTTCCGGTTGCTTGTGCAACAGATGGGCAGAGCAAAATGTTGACCCAGCATTGTATTCCAGAGAGCTCATGGCTAATGCTGAGGCTGTTGTTTCTTCTGAGGAGGTCTGCTCCAAAATCAATGTAGTCCTATTATAGGTACTGAATTAGGGACAGAGCATTCGTTGTTCCTCTTTTCACTTCCTATGAAGTGCCTTAAACATTGGTTTACACTGACTGCTATCTGCTCGCAAGCGAAGCGGGAACGAAATAACACACATACTTGATGAGTTGCACGTTGACGATGTGTAAATGTCATGGTCAGATGGATTTTGATGCACAAATGCTGCTAGAAAAGGCCCGTACTGCAACGACCTCTATTGGAGCTGCTACAGTGTGAGTTTCTCAGGAATCATCACTTTGCTTAGTGATTTTGTAACGTATTACGCGAATCGGCAAAAAGTAGGGATATGGCAACATCAAAGCTTTTCAATGCCAAGGATTGCTGACTCTTCTTAGGCATCTCTGAAAGGCAGTATCGTGGCATTACTGGAAAAGAACGGCAGTCTGCATGGAGCCAGTGTTGGTGATTGCGGTCTTCGGATCCTTCGGCGAGGTTTGTGTCGAACCATATCCGTATTCATTTACTGAATCATCCTATGTTGCTGTTGAATTTTCCTAACTAGAGCCTGATTGGAGTTGGAGGAAATATGAGTGTGTCATGATACTTTTGTGCTGCAGGTCGAATAGTGTTTGCAACACAGCCACAGCAGCATTATTTCGACTGTCCGTATCAATTTAGTTCCGATCCAGGTGGTCAATCAGCCGCAGATGCAGTGGTATGCTTTTGAAACATCACTGGTTACGTGCCAGAATAGGACTTTGACGGTACTCTCGCTCAATTGAAGCAAGATCTGGCAAGGTTCAGGTTGACGATGCGGCAAATGTGTTGGGAATGTAGTACGATCATTAATGAATGCTGATTAATGCTGGATGAATCCTCGGGCTGAGTTATTAGTGGAGTTGCTGGGATTTGGAGCAGGTATTTAAAACAGATCTCGAGCAGGGGGACATGGTCGTTTTGGGCTCTGATGGGCTATTCGACAACTTATATGACCAAGATATTGAGTCTGTGCTTAGCACTATTGGTGGTCCTGATCAGGACTCTGCCCAACGGGGTGGTAAGTACACGCCGATCAGTCATAGAACGTCGTGAGATGATGACACCATTTGTAATCCATGGATGATGTACTTCTCTTGGTTATCAAACTGAGCACGGATTAAACTTGCCCGTTACGCGAAATTTATTTGTTCAACACGCTCTATCTAGACCTATGCGCAGTCTTTTAACAGCCTATGTGTAAGCATATCAAGTTGCTTGGGCTGCAGCAAATGCGTTGGCAGTATTGGCGAGCAAGCACTCTAGGGATACCACGTACGAGTCACCTTACACCAAAGAAGCCATTCAGAAGGTTTATCTCCAACATCCTTTGCAGTTGAACGAGTTTGCCGCAATGGTATGGCTGGTGGGTGATGAACTGATTTTTTGTGGGCCAATTGTGAATTTATGGTTGTAAACTTGTTTGATTGTCTCTCTTTGCAGGGCTTCGATGTGCCCTGGTACAAGAGAATTTTAGGACATAAATTGACAGGTACCTATCTCACAAGTCTTTCAGTTCCCGTGGGATACTGACGTAGTGAACTGGACTGCCATGGCTAATGATGTGGTCGCTACATACAGGTGGGAAACTGGACGATATCACAGTGATCGTGGCCCATGTCGTGAAAGAAAAACATCCTAGTTTTTCAGACAAAGCAATCATTGATCCAGCAGCACCGAATTTACAGGATATTGGTGTTGGTATCTCGCCGTTTAGCGATTCTCCACCAAAAGACGGTGTTGAGGAGCCATTTCTAGAGAAGTTTTCACAAGGGTAGGTGGTAGCCTTGCTGAAGATTATTGATCTCATTCTTCGAGGAAATCCTTCGAGCAATTTCTTTGTGTTATATGTATCATGTGCACATCCTTGCTTTTTTTTGCAAGATTTGTAATTTTCCACCGCTTCTCATTTTCAAAACAAATGCTGGATAAATTTTGTAACTTGTTAACTATCTAATTATGTTCTTCATACCACATGTAAGTGTTAAACAATAACCAAGTGAACACATATCTTGATAGTTTAATGATTATTACTCTTGCATGTGCATGTAACACAAGTTCGTGTAGTTGTTCTGGAATTTGGATATAATTTGTGAAAACATTCTATTGGATTAATGTATTTCACACCACTAATAATAAGAATGTTGCCTTCATGAATTATTTTTTTATTTTATTTCACAAGTCAGCAGAATTAAAGGTAATTTCCTGTCTCAATCTTGTTTGGTAACAAAAATTGCTATGTGTAATATACTAGCCAATGTTTTGATTAACTTTTTTGAAATGACTGTGGGGTACTTTTGAGTTGATTTATCTAGAATCTTGTGGATGAATTTATGATGAGTTTAAGAAACGAGGGTTTCTAGACTTTTACGGTAAGCTATGATCATTCTATACAAAAATTGAGTTGTATTTCTTGCATCACTGGTTATGATTGTTGTAATTTTTTAATCATATGATTTACATTACTATATGATTTTGGACGGACTTCTCCAATATATTCTATTCTGCAACTTTCAAAGAGAACCAGGGGAAAAAGTACTTGAAAAATTGGTTTTTCAGAAAAGATTCTAACATTTATTTTTGCTGTATATTAAAACGTTGAGGTGAATGTTTTACAAAAACTCAAATCCACAATGTTACATTCAAGACACATAGTAACCAATAAATTAATTAAATAATTTGTTTGGACAGGGGCACGTTGAACACAACAACAATGGCTCGAGGGGCAAGTTTCAAAGTAGACATGGGTAATTGATACCAAAGATAAAGAATTGATTTTTCTTGAAAATAAACTTAAAAAATTAAAGATTTTGTTTTAAAATTTCAAGAAACTACATGGCATGAAAAGTATTGTTCTTTGGAATTTCTATTGGGTCCAAATTAAAGATGCAAATTTTTAAAAAATCAAGAAGATGTGTCAAAGAATACTTAAAATAACCATAAAAGATAAAAATAAAATCAAAATTTGTACTCTTTTCATACTTATTTGAATCAAGCTATGAATTAAAATATTTATACTTATAATAAAGGAAATCTTCGGTCTATTTTATGGCCTCTTCTTACTTTATATTTAATCCCAACGACAAAATGGTTTTTCTTTATCAAGCAACTAACTTTTATAAGGCTTTTGAACCATGGTCTTTCAAAGTAGGCTTCTAAGTAAAAAATATCTCTTATTGTAGTGTTGACACTAGATACTTATAAAAACTTCTTTGATAATAAGAAAAATCATTGATGTTACAATTTGATCTAATATTTCTATTGAACTTAACATAATTAGTTGGATTGATTTTTGTAATGGTTTTTAATAGTTATTTTTTTTTTTTTTTTTTTTTTATTTATAATTTTTTTTTCATCATCATCATTGTTATTATATATTATTATTATTATAAAAATATAAATACATAAGACTTGTATCAAAAGAAAATTTTACTTAAATCAATTTGGTCAATCTAATTCTATCAAGTTAGGCAAAGAAGGTATAGAATCCAATCACATAAATAGAGGATATTATTTTGGAATGATATCATCTTTTAATATTAGATTGTAGAATGGTTTTTAAAAAATGAATAAGATTTAAAAACATGAAAAGATAATATATATATATATATATATATATATATATATATAAATTAGAAATAATCATGGAGATTATAAATACAAATTTATTTCTTAACTTCATTGAATCTCTTTCATTGAATCATTGTTTTATAATTGAACAAATTTTAATATTATAAATATTTTTATTATTATTATATAAAATATTTTATTATAATTTTTTTAATATCAATAAAAAGATCAAAATTTTAATCATTGAATAGTTCTATTAGATATTAATAAAAAATAATTGTATGTCTATAGGATAGCAACAATATTAGCATCATTTTTCTTATTACAATAGCATCAATTCATTTTGTTCTAAAACTTTATAGCAATTTAAATTTATTTCTTCTTATTATATCTTAAAAATGATACAACTAATATTACAAAACGAATCAAATTCATTTTAAAAATAAATATTGAAAAAAGAGTGGAATTACATAAATAATAGTAGATGAGATTAACTTATTAGAATTGTAATACATAGTGCTTTTTTAATGATATACTTGGTGTGAGGCTATAAAAAACAAATATATGTATGATCATAATTATCATATAATTTTAAATAATTTTTAATATTTATAAACAAAAAAATCTAACTTCAACCAATAAGGTTTTAATTCTTAAACATAAAACATAAAAAATTCTTCTTAATAACCTCAATCAAATATAAAGATTACATGATTTTTTTATTTTATTTTATTATAACATTAACCTTTTTCAATAAAATCTAATTTTAATCAATAAATTTTAATATTTTTTTCAAAAATTAAATAATTAGATTAATAAAAAAAATTATAAAAAATTATAAATAAATTAAACAACTAATCTTAAAATATTACACAAATCTTAATCTATCTTAAATTTTTCACTTCTAAAATTATCTTTTGTTATAGATGCCTATATTACTCAAATAATTGTAATTAAGTAGAAATATATAAAATCATATTAAATATATGTTAATTTTTTAAAGAAAAATTTAAGAATTATCTCAGATCAAAATTAGCTATTTAGATTCATATACATGAATCATGTAGCTATTAAAACTAATTCTACAAGTTTCTTACTATTAAAAAGTTGTATTTGAAATAAACTACAATTTGATGCTTGTGCTATAAGCCTTGTATATGTATGTTTCAACAATGCATTTTTATATCTTGAACATCAATATTTTCATTAATAATAAAGATAGGAAGCATTAGGTAGAAGAACATAATAGTAGATTAATTTGATAATATCTTATTGATTAGCTTCATAGAAGCTTTATAAATACAAATTTGATTTTACTAATATTTATATGGCATTGATAGGTTGAAAACTTTTCAACAAGTCGGCTACATATTTCACATGTCAACCAATTGCTTTATAAGTTGATTATATGTCTCACATATTAGAACTTACCTTGTAAGTTAGACAAGCATTTTCTAAGTTGGACTTGTCTTGAATGACACATAGAATATTGCCACATAGCTCTTTAATTAGATAGTATATATAGACGCAAGAGTAAGACCTTTGTCACTCTTTTCAATATTTTTTTAAAAAAATTCTACTCTTGTTTCAAGAGTCTCTAGTCTTTGTGTCTTTGGCAATAATTATTCTAATTTCTTATAGAATATATTTACTTTCTTATTTTTATTTATTATCTTTAATATACTTTCTAATTTTTTTCATTTATCTTCTTTCAAATTCTTGTTCTTAAAGGATAGATAAGAATTTAGTTACAATATCAAAGCTTTGTCTCTTTTAAGAAAGAGAGATTTTTATTTTTATTTTTTATTTTATAAGTTATAAGTATATTAAAAGTTTTAGATTACTCACTTTTAAAGTGATATTTTTTATGTTTATTTCTTTATTTATTATTATTAATCTTTATCTATCACTTATTCTAAATTAATTTAAACATCTTTTATTTTATTATGTTAATATTGTAGAGCTTAGTGAAATAAAAGGTGTATTAGTATAAATACAAAAGAAAATAATAAAATTAATATTTGCCATATATTAATTCAATTCACTACCACAGAGAGCAATAAGATTGGTTGGAAGTTAATAAGTAGAATTGATTAGAGTTATATCAACATTTATACCAAATAATATTATTTTTCATAGAGTGGAATATTATTCAATTGCCACTATAAGTGTTAGAAAACCAAGAATTGCCTTGTATAAAAAATTTAATGGTAAAAGGTCAAAGTTTTGAGGATTTATTAATCAAGCACAACTTTTGATTAAATTTTAATATAAAAATTATCCAATTTTCACATCACAAGTTAGGTTTTTTTTAATATTGCTTTAAGATTTTGCTTTAACATAGCTTTTATCTTTTTTCAAACAATGCAATCTAATATTAAATAATTTAGAGGTATTTTTGGCAAAAGTTTATTTTATATATAGAAAATATGATGCAATTTATGTTGTAATCAATAAGATTTGTATTTTAAATCAAGACAATTATTTAGTATCATTTTATGCTTTAAAATTTAAACAAATTGAATTTAAATTTAAGTAATATGATATTAAACTTATCAACTAATTTTTCTATAAATTATAATATTATGTAGGTAAATTAATGCTAAATTTATTTAATTATCATATATTAAATTAAGCAATTGATTTTGCAATGAAGTATAATAATTAGCTTTTCAAATTTTGATCTAACAACTATTCAAATGTACCTCAATGTCTATATAATTAAATGAAAAAATCAATATCTTTTTAACAAATATATTTGGAAATAAAAGACATGCACATTGATATAATATTTTTTAAATCCTTGCCTACAAAGAAAAAATCTAAAAATTGTCAAGATAGATTATACTTATCTTATGGAGAATCTAAGCATATGAGCTTATCATGGAATAATAAAGAGTCATTAGAGCAAAGTATAGGTAGTATATAGTACAATTAGCATAAAATATAACCAATAAAATTAAACAAATAAAGCAAATGAAATGAGAAGAAGAAAGAATTAGTACAAAAAGTAGAAAAGTCAACAATATTTGTAAGGTTGACAAGACTTAATTCTAAGAATCATCTCTATGAAAAAAAAAAGTGGTGTTATAAGAGAATTTGGTTGCCTTAAGATGTAGCCACCTCTATGTGATGTTGTGGTAGTTTAAAAATAAGATCATGATAAGTGAACTAATTTTGAGAAAATTACTAATGATAATAGATAACTTGATCCGTAGAGACTTGAAATGGTGAAAACTTACTTTGAAAATGGACTTATATTTGTTGAAGAATGACCTAGTGATTTGTTGTCATAAAATAAAAATATGTTATATAAGATAACTACTATCTTTTCTCTTAATTCATACAATTCAAAAGAAGGGTACCAAATC